CACACATATACATAATTTAATAATATCTTTTTTACAATTTTTCAGTAAAAATTTTAATCGTAAAATAAAAATGGTTGAAAATATTGCAAAAAGTCATGATTGAATAAAAAACAATACTAAACGAATAATAAACAATACATTTTAAAATATACTGTTAAAAATTAAAAGTAACTGATTCAATGGTTTTCGAGAAATCATGTCAATCAATTAAAAAAAATGATTTCGAGAAAAACGTATTAAAGTTTGAATAGATTATGGTTCTATAAGTTTGTATAAGTTTCTATTAGAAAACATGTCAAAACCAATTTGAACACACAAACAAAAAATCTTAAGGTCAAAAAAATTCATATAGATCAACATACATAGGTAAAAACATTACATCTCAAGTTCGTATAGATAAAAGTTCATAAAAGTTCCTATCGCAGCGCCTGCCGAGCGGCGCACTCAAATGACTTGACGCGCTCTCGGAAATATTCAATAATTTCGTTATTTTTTCTCACATCAAATTAAAACTCTAGAAATATATTCTTCAAAAATTCTTGAACATTCAGATAAAATAAAAAAATTAACTTTTTTATAAAATAAAAAATATTTTATAAAATAAAAAAATTAACTTTTTTTTTTCAGATAAAATAAAAAAATTAACTTTTCTAACTGATATCCCTTTCATCCTGATGTCTCCTTTTAAATATTAAATAATATGGTTTTTTAATATTTCTCAGATAAACAGTAAGACATCTCTTTAATATGAAGCATATAAGAATTTGCGGGGCAGGTAAACTAAAATAAACGAATCTTTTCGTTATATTGCTTTAATAAGAAATCGTAAGATAAAAATATATCAATTTTCATATTTGAAAATTTTGAAGTTTTCATTGATTAGTAATTGTTTTGTAATTTTCCTCTCAATTATAGATATTTTATAAATGAAAATTTGAAAAAAATAGTAATAAGCAAGAGAGAGAAATTTAATAATTGGCAAAATCTGATTTTCTAAGGATTTGCAACAATCTCAATTACAATGGTAATGCGTCCTTTCCAACAAATTATTTTAATTATTTTAATTAATTTATTTTTTATAGCTTAAAATTGTTTTTTTAAAGAAAATTATTTCATTTATTCCACTAGATAAATTTTTGTAATCGTTTCATTTATAATCGAAATAATTTCTTTCAGACTAAATTTTACCTGATCAGATTATAATTCACAATTGTCACGAATGATTTTTGTAATATACGCGGTATTGAGCGATTCAATGTGATTTTAATATGCAATTCATTATATAGTCTGTGCTTAGAAACATTTAATTGACATTTAATGACTTTCAGATGAGTTAGTAAAGAAAAAAGAGGAGGAAAAGGCTGGAAGGAAGGGGAAAAATGAAAGAGAAAGATCGGTCATTAAAAAGAATTTCCCTATATCTTTATTTACGCGCGATAAATAACTCACGTCCGCGCGTATCGCATTGCTCTCTCAAAAAAATTATGTGTCAACGGCTTACTTTTTCGCCGCCCTTTGGTGTCGAACTCACTCCGACAGAAGTCAGTTTCATGTAACAATGTATATCACGGAACAATGTATGAAAAATAGAATTAATTTTTTATTTATCTTTCTCTATTTCTTCTAATTCTTTCATTTTTTTTTCTTTTGCCGATCTAAAATCTCAAATTTTGACTTTGAGATTTAAAATCATAGAATTCATTTTTATGGACAGATACAGTCGTGAAAAAAGAAAATGAGATAATTTAGATAAAAATGTTTAATCATAAGTGTAAGAATATATGGATGGAACGTTAAATAATTTCAGGCAAGAGAAGTTGAAATGTGAGTGGCAAAAAGAAAATAGCCATGTTGATTTAACAAAGTTTCATCCTCCGATTTTATTTCCCGGCATTTATTAATGTAAGAATATCTGAATTAAGGGGATGCTGAACTTGTCTGTATTATCGATAAAACACAATAATTTTTGTATAACTCTCATTTTTTATTAACTTTACAGATCTGGAAATCCTTTTCCACAATTAAAGTTTATGCATTAATACGTGCTTAGCATATGAATTTCGTATCAAGAACGAGAAAAACTTTTAAAATTTAAATCTTTTTTACCATTTGGTACCTTAAAATGGCGTCCAAAGCTGTCAAGTCGCGTAAATATTTGCTTTATATGAAACTTTTACAGCCTATACTTACAAAACTGATATTGCTAGACTAGAAGGTT